CTTTTCAATCTCTATGTTTTCATGTAGTCACACAGCTTGCCTGTTAACTGTTCTCAAGAGATTTTACAGAGCAGTCATCCACAAACGTAAACTAGTACAACCACCATAAAAATCAATATGAAGATTCCTCAAAAAACTACAGCTAGGAATCCTCTTCAACCTGGCTCTCCCACTTCTAGGTTTCTTGCCAAAAGAGTTAAAGACATCATATTACACTACCTGTGTGTACAAAAGCATAGTTCACGCAAGCTAAACCTTGGAAGCAGCCTATATGTCCATTAACAGATGCCTAGTGTCATGAGAAAGGATACACTTAGCGATCTGTAGGAAAAGGGCCTGGAGACCGTAACATTAAGTGACATAACCAGACATACAAACTTAAATATTGCGTGGTTTCTCTCATGTGTGAAACACAAAATCTAAGTAAATGAAGAAATGGGAGCTAAGGCAGATCTTGGCACATGGGCAGGGGGCTGAGATGGGAGGACAACACGAGTGACGATGCTCGGCACCTGCACCCCTCCGCACACTGACTGCGACTGCTGTGACTGCAAGCACACACTCATAACCATCCAAAATAAATAGAAATTAGGAAGACAAGCCCACCCCAGGAGGCACAGAAGATTCCCACTGCTTTCATGGCCATTCTGGCTCCCTTCTGTGGTAACAATAAGCCAGAGGACGGGGCTGGCACAAAGCAAGAGTGACTGTGACACACTGGAGTCCAGCCCAGAAGGGCAGGAGGGGCTACGCACAGCACCCCACACCTGTGTCCAGGGCAAAGGAAGCCTGCCCACAAGAGCACCATGCGTGTGGTCCTCGAGATGGTCTCCAGGATCAGGTCAGATTACTCCGTGCCATTGAGGCAGGCAGGCCTGGGTGGGGCTGGCAGCCCCACACACTGCAGAAACAGGTGGCTTCCTCCAGCCAACAGGACCCCATCAGAGACAAGAGGCCCCATGCCGGCTTGAAGGTGGAAGAGGCTGTGAGCCAAGAAATGCAGGTAGCCTGAAGCTGCTGGGAGCAGCCCCAGCAGCCAGCAAGGAACTGGGGACCTGTCAATTCATGGAAATGAATCCTACCAAGAAGGGGACTGGCATGAGACAGGGTAAGAGGTAGGGCCCTCAAGACTGTGATGCTGGATTGGATGCCCGCCACAGGCCAGGGCGAGGGCCGGGGCTGCCTTACTAGGACACGTGCTCCATGGGGCAGGCCATCTGCCTGCCCTGGCTCAGGAGCCTCACTTCTGCCACAGCAGCTTTATGGGAGAGGTGGTTTCCCAGCGGACTCAGCTTCAGGAAAGAAAAAAAGAAACTGGCCTGAGGCTCAGCACACGGCCCCCGAGGCCAGTGCTCAGGATGAGGCTGCAGCTCTGGGGTCACCTGGGGCCTTCCTCCTACCACCTGAGTGAGTTCTGTCTGTACCACCAAGATCAAGTTCATGAATCTAAACATCTCAGCTTATTTCTGTAATGACAGCTCTTTTGCTCACTCCACAATGAGAAAATCTGATCCTAAACCGTTGCACCTAATCAAGAAACAAGTATTTACTTCCCACCAAAGTTGATACTGACCCTTCTCCCACTGCCACTTATAGGACTCCACTCAATCTACAATCCCATCAGTGGCCAGAGAGAAGGTCTGAGACTTTCCTGAGTTCAATCCCTGGTACCACCAAAAAAAAAAAAGAAAAAGAAAAGAAAACTATTTCTGGAGAGATAGCTCAGTAGAATAAGCACTTGCCTGAAATATAAACCCTAAAATTATGAAATTTTTCCTTTAACGTTATTCTAAGAAAAACTAAGCCACAACCAAGTGTCATTTCTAGCAGCACTGTGTTCCCACCAAATACGCATACCAGCAAGATCAACAGGATCTGCTCCATCCTCCTCAGCAAGGGCATTACTCCATTTTTTTGTAGAAACCTTAAACAGCACGTGCCAGTCTGCTCAACATTCATCCTGGCCCCCTTGGGGAGGGTCATTGGGCCCCCACCTGAGTCAGCCATCCTAACAGCATGGGTCCCAGATTCTCCGGAGGCAGGATGTGGCCTTGAGCAGCTCTCCAGCCAACTCCTTCAGCTGCAGTACAGCCAGCAGCAGGGGCCTCGCTTTAGGTTCCCCTGTGCAGACTGGCGGGGGTACGATGGGCAGGAACGGGCAACAGGATGATTCAGTGGGTGGAGTGTCTGAGCACGAGCAAATTACCTCAGTGGTCAGTGCAGCAGGAAATATCTGGGCAGTGCGATCATGCTTGCTGCCCTCGCCAACCTGCTACCTTCAGTGTCAGATGAACCCAGCAAGCACCCTTTGTGGAGGATCACACAGTTCTCCTACCCACCCCTTGATGGCCGGCCACATAGAGGGAAAGACAGAAAGGCAAGTGGATTGGAGACAGCGCCCGAGCCTTCTGCCATGCCCATCCAAAGAACCTCGTGAGGATGTTCTAGAGCAGGTTCTGCTGCTCTACTGTGGGTCCCTCAATGCAGGCCAGAGGGTAGGGGCATGGGAGGGATCCCACTGCTTGTGCTCCTCAGTAACCTGTGTGGCACAGCAGGGCCCACGTTGAAACACTGGCCACATCCTACAAATCCATCAAATCCACATGAGACAGCTTCTCAGGCAGCAGACAGGGGCAGAATCACTGTAGTGGACAGTAAGAATGGTCAAAGCACCCGTATAAAGGGAGCTACACACACTGCCACACCGTAGGCATGCTGAGGGACCACACCTGCATGTGTCGAGCCCAGAAGTGATGCCAGCTAGGGCACAAGCTGCAGGAACCTGCTGGGAGTGGGCTGACAAGGACCTGAGGTCACGTGTCCATCCTCTCTCATGCAAGACTGCTTTACCTTCAACCTCATGGGAGGTTCCCAAAGCCACTGGGACTGCCCAGGGCAAAGTAAGGGCACCAAAGGATGAGGGGGTCAGAGGTTTGAATACTGGACAGAGGAAGTGACCAGAGCCACCACATCTCTTAGTCAGCAGTGCAGGCAGAGAGCACACCTCCCACTACACCAACACCTCCCAACTTTTCGAAGCATTTAGCTAAAACTGAAATAACAATCCAAGTCAGCAACAACTCCACAACACAGGAAGCACCAAGCAAAGTTGCCAAAGGCAGGCTGCCACACAGGCCACTAGGCAGGGACCCTGGAGTTCAGCAAAGGAAGAGGATTCAAAGAGCGTGATGATAGCTCCTCCCTCCTAGGATGAGGGAGCAAGCCAGGCCTAGGAGCATCAGAGACCCCTTTTAAGCCCTAAGCTACACTGCCTCTGAGCTGAACTGCACAGGTGGGAAGGACTCATGGAGGAGAGGGAGATGTCCAAGGAGGACTGGGAGGCAACTGAACCTAATCAAAACCCTAGCAGAGCTGACAAAAGTCCTCATCCCATTGGCTGTATTGGGAAAGGGTGCTAGCATGATAGGAGGGCATCAAGATACCAACCTGTTGAAGGGAAAGAATGAGGAATGGAGAGAGGGGTGGCATTTGACCAATGACTGCTGTGGCAGGAGCAGAGATGGGAGCCAGCTAGTCTGCATACCTGGATGGCCACTGTTATGGGGCACTTGGACGAATCCCAAGTTTCAGGGTAAGGATCAAAACCATACATTTCCCACACCGACTCTACTGGAGATCCTGCTGCAGAACCTGGCCTGCAGTGGCTCACACACCAATGAAAATAACCTGCACAACGCAACTGAGGCGGACTGGAAGCCTTCAAGTTATAGAAACTCCAGAAGCCCAAGCAGCATGCACAGAGCCAGGTGGGGATCCCTGCTCCTGGAGTACAATTCTAGACAGTCAGCAGCTAAAACACAGACTTAAAGCCTAGACCAGATTTTGGGGTTCCATCAAAGGAACACTGAGTCTGCTGTGGTTACCTAACACACCGGAAACTTCAACTCACCAAGTGGTGCCCTAGGTTCTCAGTGTCCCACCTCAGCAAACACCCTCCCCACCACCTGCCTCAGACAGCACCACGTGGAGAGAGGACAGAGAAAGCTGAGCAGACCGAGGCACACTCAGGCCCCCTGGAATTAAGAAAGTAACATTTCTACTTAACCAGGTGAAACAAGTTGCAGAATGGCTAGTAATATACACTTTAAACTGGTAACAACTTAGGTGATTCCAAGTTCTTCAAAGGGGAAATAAACGGAAGTAAGCAAACGAAAGTTCACTTTCAGAAGAAATCCCAATGCAGAGCCATCAGAGGACTTCTATCATCTGTGATAATCACTCTAATACTTTGGGAAATCCTTCAAGCCCATTTAAATTGCCAGAAATTGGGCAAGCAAAGCTCATGACTTAAGTTTTGAAACAGGTATACAAGATTACTTTGTATCTCAAAACTTAAGAAAGCAGGAAAGGCAAAGAAGCTGGTTAACAGCACCACACCTGGGCAGCCTCACCTGGGACTACTACAGCTTCCACCTTCTTCCCCATTTCAATTTTTTTCATTCCTTTCAGTCTCTAGGACACCCAACTTGCGGGGACCTTCGAAGGCCCTATAGGCTGATGTGTAAATATTTTAAAATAAACTTGTATGTACTTACACTTTAGGAGATGCAATAAATAGATCTTAATTTGGGGAGTGCTATTAGCCAAGCTTGCAACTACTGCAAAATGAAGTGAGGTACCTGCATTTCTGCCCAGGATTTAAGCGTAGTCTATTACCCCACTCGACTCACAAATCCCGTCTCGCTACAATATCTCTGATGGTTAAACTGTATCACTCCCAAAAACCTACTGATCATTTAAAGTGGCTTTCTGCACAAGGAAAAAAGTTACCGTTTTACCTTCAACCTCACTGACGCTCCTGGCAATACTTAAAATATGCCGCGGTTAGGTTTATGCGAAACCACACCCATGTACACCCCACTTTGACAAGGGATCCCTAACTTTCCTACATGGGGCAAGAGCGCACCCAGTGCCCTTTCCGGCCTCAGGAGGAGGAAGCGGATTTGCAGGGAGCCAGGCCCGCGGCCCGGCGCACTCACCCCTGGATGCCCGGGCTGTACACGCGGCTCTTCCACGGCGTGCCGGGCCGCGGCGCCTGGGCCTCGGGGCCCCCGCCTTCCAGAGCGGCGGCGCGGCTGCCAGACAGCAGGTAGTTGAGGCCGTAGGTGCTGGCCTTGTTCTCGCGTTTCC